AGAGACAGTTTTGCTTGATATATAATTCTTGGCTAGCAGTTTTTTTCCGTCAAGGCTTTATGTATGTCATCCCATTGCCTTCTTGCCTGCATGGTTTCTGCTGAGTAGTCCGTGCTTAGTCTTATTGACTCTCCTTTGTAGATGACTTTTCATTTCTCTCTAGCTGCTCTTAAAATTCTCTCTTTATCTTTGGTTTTGGCAAGGTTGATTATATTACGTCTTGGTGACTTTCTTTTGGGATCTACCTTATGTGGAGTTCGATGTGTATCTTGGATAGATACCTTCTCATCTTGCACGATATCAGGGAAGTTTTCTGCCAACAAATCTTCGATAATTCTCTATTTTCTGTTATCTCCCCCATTCTGTTACTCCAATCACTCATAGATTATTTTTCTTGATAGAGTCCCACATAATTCTTAGGGGTTCTTCATTTTTTTTCAGGTCTTTTTTTTATTGTACTTCAGGTGAAGGTTTACAGAATAGATAGTTTCTCAGTAAACAGTATACGTATTGTTTTATGACACATTTTTTAAAATTCTTTTATCTGATTTTTCCTCAAATAAGTTGCTGTCAAGTGCTTTATCTTCAGTCTCACTAATTCTGACTTCCATTGCCTCAGTTCTGCTCATACGACTTTCTGTTGTCTAATTCTGAAATTGTATTGTTAATCTTCTGGATTTCTGTTTGCTGTCTCTCTGGATTTTTGCAGCCTGTTAAATTTGTCATTATGCTCTTGTACAACCTTTTAAGTTCGTCTGTTGCTTTGTCTGTGTGTTCCTTTGCTTGTTCTGCATTTTGATTGATGATCTTCCTGATCTCTTGAAGAGTTCTGTATATTAATCTTTTGAATTCTACCTCTAGTAATTCCAAGAAGTTCTCTTCCTCTGGAAGATTTCTTGATTCTTTTGTTTTGGGAGCTTGCTGAAACTATCACGGTCTGCCTCTTTATGTGATTTGATATTGACTGTTGTTCCGAGCCATCAATAAGTTATTCTGTTTATTTATTTTATGTTTGCTTACTGTGTCCTAGCTTCTTGTTTTCTTTTGATATGCCAAATAGTCTGCTCTTGTGAGCTAGTTTTGATTATTGGCGACTTTGAAGCTCTAATGTCCTGTCACCAGGTGGTTAGATCTGTTACTAGGTATGTGAGCCCGGGAGTCCGTTTACTTCTTGTACGGATTCAGCTTAGGTATCCTGATAGTCGATCACCAAGTGTGTGGTACAGGCTCTCACCTACAGTGCTAGACAGGCAGGGGTGATTGGAGTAGGCACAGTATCTGGCTGCAGTAGGGGCTCATGTGCTGAGCAAGGCTGGGGGCTGACAGCTGCCCCTGAGTGTCTGGAAGGAAAGCATGTCGTTGTTCCCTAGAGTGCGTAGGTGGGTATGTTTTGCATCCGGACTTTAGGCACCCAAAGCTGTTGGCTGTATGGACTGGGAGCCACCACTTATTCTTGGACCCCTGTCGCGGGTGGCTCAGTGGTATGGGTGGAGCCACCAGTCCTCAGGCCCCTGATATGGGTAGGTGGGGATCCTGCTTGATTGACAGAACAGTGTCAAATGTCATGAACCTACCACTCTACCATATAGCTGATGCAGTTGAAGTTAGGCTTCAGGTACATACCCTGTTGTACTCGGCTAATGAGGGCCTAGACTGTTAAAATGGGCCCACAGAGGTCTGTGCAGGCTTGAAAGGCATTCAAAGTCTGTGGACCCCTTGTTCCTGTGCCTAGGCAAAGGAGCTATGCCTGCCCTGACTTCCCAGCTTAGGGAAGCTGGCAGTTTATTTTTTCCTGTTTATTAATTTGTTCCCTCCCTGAGGCTGGGAGAATGGCTGAAGGTGTGTGAAAGGTCCTACTTCTGGCCCAGGGGACATGGCAGTTGCTGAATCCAGCCTAGGACCTGGCGCAGAGCGGGGAGGGGTTAGGTAAGTGGGAGAGAGGTTCTTCCCAAAGGGATTGTTTTTTGATCAACGCAGTAGGTTAGATGCATGTACTTATCTTTTGCCGATTGAGTGCCGCTTTTCACTGGATCTGGAGGTTTGAGCAGACTCTCCGCCATTCGGTCTCTCCTGATGTGGAAAGCGCATCCTGAGTGCCACTGCTTGCCTCGCCAAGCATGTCAGCCAATCGGCCTGCAGAGTGCCAGTTCCCACCGGGTCAGGTCTGGCAACTCCTCACTGCTTCTGAACCATCTCGCCCTCCCCCTGCCATTCAGTCCGATTCGTCAGTTTTGCCTTTGATGTTCAGGGCCCCTATTGTCACATATAATCATTTCACTTGTTTACTCAGGTCTTTGTTCTAAGGGGGACCACAGGAAGCATCTGACTACTCCACCATCTTGGCCCCACCTCAGAAAAATACATTGTTGGAAAAGCCACAGCACAAAAACAAAACAAAACCCACACAGCACGTAAAAGTTCAAGAAGGCATGATATAATAGAGAAAACATGATCCAAAATGTACACACAATATGTCTCAACTGTTTTTAACAACAACAAAAAAAAGGCGAAAGAACTGAAGAAATCTACAAAAACGTTAATGGTTTCTTTAGGTTATGGTTGTGCTTATTCGTGCAACTTTACAGTTTTTTACCTAATTCTTATTAAACCACAAGCAAGTATTGCTTTTATAATTAGAATAACGAAAAGAGATAATCACTCCTTTCTTTTCTTGATGGTAGGAACCTGCAAATAGTCGTCTACCTCCTCACCTTATTGCACTTGACTCCACGATACCTGGGTTTTTTGATGACATTGGGTATCTGGATCTCTTGCCATGTCGTCCCTTCGACACAGTTTTTATTTTCTATATGAAGCCAGGCCAGAAGACAAACCAAGAGGTAAGAATTCTGAAAATTTTTTTGGTAATTTTTTTATACTATATAAATTTTTTACATGGGTTGTGGTTTGCCACTGTTGTTGTTGCTGTTGTTACGTGCTGTCGAGTCATTTCCAACTCATAGTGACCTTAAGTACAACAGAACAAAACATTGCCTGGTCCTGCACCATCCTCACAGTCGTTATACATGAGCCCGTTGTTGCAGTTGCTGTGTCACTCCATCTCGTTGAGGGTCTTCCTCTTTTTCGCTGACCCTCTACTAAGCATGTTGTCCTTCTCCAGGGACTGGTTCCTCCTGATAACATGTCCAAAGTATGTGAGACGTAATCTCGCCATCCTTGCTTCTAAGGAGCATTCTGGTTGTACTTCTTCCAAGACAGATTTGGCCACTGTAGGAGGTGCATGTTTTATTTTTAGTTTTATTTTTATGTTTAATTTTTAACTTGTTGTGAACCAGTCCAGAAACAGAATTAATAAACTCTGATGCTTGTAGTACTGATTCTTTTGACCCTCAAGGAATATGGTTTAGGGAGGAGTTGTAGGATGTCTTTCTTCCCCTTAACGAATTCAGGTTCATAAAACAAAAGAAATTCAAGTATAGAAAGGTAGCCATAAAAAGCTAAAGCAAGGCATGATTGCCCAAGAAGAGTATAACAGCAGCATCAAATATTATTGAACATCTTCCTGTGCCTCAGTATGTGCCAGAGTACAAAAGTGAATAACAAGTCTTTCCTCTTGATGAGCTCACCTTCCAGGTAATTTCACAAGCAAATAGTTTCAATTGAGGCATGCACAGCATGTAATGGAGAAAATAATACCTGAGATAAAGATTGAAAACAGAAGACCAAGTAAAGCACAACTGGACAAGTATAACAGAGACCAGGAGAAGGATGAAGAAAAACATGAGATGGATGAAAGTGGAAAACTGAGAGCAAATAGCAGGAAAATTGAATTTTCTGTTGGAACATGGAGTAGAGAGTCTGTTACCAAGTATGAGTATGAAAGGGCCAAAGGAATATTTGTAAAATATAGTATTCAGATGTGTAGGGCACCAAAACCGGCATCCTATATGATCTTGAAATTTTACTGTAATCGTTGTAAGACCATTAGCTAATCAAGTTGAGTACTCCTTAAGAAGCTTACCAAAATCATAAAATATCTACACTAAATGCACAATTTGTAAATTATTGGTGAGGTACTAGAAAAAGAGATTGATGTATGAGGAAGTTCCTCATATTACTAATTCTGTAAATACTAATTGTCTGTTCTCTGTTAGGTGCCAGGTTTACAGCGGTAAACAAGATCTATAAGGTTTCCGGCCTCCTAGAACTACTGTCTAGAGGGGAAGACAGGTGTTGAAATAAGCAACCATAATATACTATGATAAAAAGGGGCTTAAAGCATGTTATAGGAGCCATAACAGGAAAATCTAGCCTGGTTTTAACAAGGTGTCCTGGAGGAAAAGATATTTAAGTTGGTATTTGAGATATGCATTGAAGATAAGTTAAAAGGCAGAAGCAAATTGTTACTAACAAAATAATAACATGGGCAAAGGCCTCAGAGGTAAGAGAAAATTGCAACTTCATGAAATTGAGAGAAGTTCATTATGGGGTCCAGTGTGCTTGGAGCTTGAGGGAAGGTGGACTGTTGGTAGCCAGGGATGAGACTAGTGGACTCTCTAAGTTTTTTGGAAGAACCCCAGTAAAACTGGGTTACTTGAAGGGATTGAGATCTGTTTTGAGGCAAGTCTAGTGCTTAGTTCAAATGAGAAGAATGGGGCCATTTTTCTCCTACCTGTAAAAGGAGAGGACACAAACTTTTTAGGCAACTCCTAAACCACCTCAGTTTCCTTAGGATTCTAAGGGCTGAGGGTGATCGGTGCTGTCGAGTGGGTTCCGACTCATAGTGACCCTGTATACAACAGAACAAAACACCACCTGGTCCTTTGCCATCTCACAATCATTGCTGTGTTTGAACCAATTGTTGCAGCCATTGTATCAGTGCATCTTCTTGAGGGTCTTCCTCTTTTTTGCTGACCCTCTTAACCTTACCAAGCACTGTATCCTTCTGTAGGGACTGGTCCCTCTGATAACATGCACAAAGTATGTGAGATGAAGTCTCACCATCCTTGCTTCTGAGGGGCGTGCTGGCTGTACTTCTCCCAAGACAGATTTGTTTGTTCTTCTGGCAGTCCATGGTATATTCAGTATTCTTTGCCAGGACCATAATGCAGAGGCATCGATTTTTCTTCAATCTTCATTATTCATTGTCCAGCTTTCACATGTTTATGAGATGATTGAAAATACCATGGCTTGGGTCAGATGCACTTAGTCCTCAAGGTAACATCTTTGCTTTTTTAACTCTTTAAAGAGGTCCTTTTTAGCAGATTTGCCCAGGGTGATCCGTCATTTTGATTTCCTGACTGCTGCTTTCCATAGGCGTTGCTTGTGGATCTGAGTAAAAGGAAATCCTTGACAACTTCACTATGTTCTCTGTTTATCATGATATTGCTTATTGGTTCAGTTGTGAGGATTTTTGTTTTCTTTATGTTGAGGTGTAATCCATACTATAAAGGCTGTAGTCTTTGATCTTCATCAGTGAGTGCTTCAGGTCCTCTTCACTTTCAGCAAGGAAGGTTGTGTCATCTGCATATCGCAGTTTGTCAATGAGTCTTCCTCCAGTCCTGATGTCGTGGTCCTCTTTACATAGTCCAGCTTCTCAGATTATTTGCTCAGCAGACAGATTAAATAAGTATAATGACGCACACCTTTCCTGATTTTAAACCATGCAGTATCCGCTTGTTATTTTCAAATGAACTGCCTCTTGGTCTGTGTGTGGGTTCTGCATGAGCAAAATTAAGTGTTCTGAAATTCCCGTTCTTTACCATAGGTTAAATTTAGGTTAATTTCTTGCTGCTGGAAAGTGGCATGTGAGTTGAATTTTGACCTGTTTATTTCTTCTTGATTAAAGTTTCAAATTATTTTAAAGTTTCACTTCTAAATAAAAGTTATAATTGGAAAAACCAAAACTGGCTGCCAAATCAGTTTGCTGGTGCTTGTAGGAATATGAAGGGATACAAATGAACTAGATAGGTGTACTTCTAAAGAGACTGGTTTTGTATTTAAGAGATGATGATATGGCGATGATGCCCAGTGGATTAAGAAGTAATGGGTGTAACCTACCATATTCAACTTCAGGCCTCCATAGGTCTGACAGGCCTAGCAAGTCTTGACAAAATAGATGAGCATTGAATGAACTCCATCAGTTGTTCCCAAACACTGGTTTATGGATTAGCTACATCATGGTCACTTGGAGGAGCTTTTAAAAATAATGTTCCAGGATCTTACCCCTGCTGATTCTGATATAGAAGGACTAGAACGGGCATAGGAAATTCTATTTTTAAGATACTACCCCCCCTTCTTGTTTGTTTTTTTTTAATTTGGAGAAGAATTTTTCTTTTGCCTTCCTTTAGAGCAGGGTTTTTCAACAGCAGCACTGTTGACATTTTGGGCTAGATATTTGTTGGGGAATTGTACTGTTTATTGTAGGTATTCAGCAGCAGCATTGGCCTCTACCCACTAGGTGCCAGTAGCACCCCACCAGTTGTGACAACTAAAAATGTCTCCAAACACTACCAAATGTCCCCTAGAGGGCAGGATCAACCCCAGTTGAGAACTACAGTTTTAGAATGAGGAACCGCTCTTTCTGAAGCCAGTAGAAAGCCCAGGTGTTGTACTTAGTGAAGAGGAGAGAACCTTCTGGTCACTTCAGTTTTGTTAGAATTGCAGGCATATATGTATTATTCTCTTCTTTGGACTAAGAAGGATATTTTAAGATTCATTTATTAGTTGTACTTAACCTTTATTGAATTTTTAATAGATTTATATTTTTCTCTTACAGCATTTGTCAAGATTTGTAATTAATCACATACCTATGCAGTGATTTTCTCTCATTAACCAGTTAGTAAACTGTATGAAGACAGGGACATGGTGTCTTTTATTTGCTGCTTAGTATTTTATCTGGGGAGCCCTGGTGGCACAGTGGTTAAGAGCTTAGCTGCTAACCAAAGGATTGGCAGTTTAAATCCACCAGCTGCTCCCTGAAAACCCTGTGGGGCAGTTCTACTCTGTCATATAGAGTCGCTATGAGTTGGAATCGACTCGATGGCAACAGGTTTGGTTTTGGTTTTGGGTTGTGTGTGGAGTCCCTGAGTAGTTCAGACGGTTAACACACTTGCATTTGAGTCCACCCAGAAGTGCCTCTGAAGAAAGGTCTGGTGATCTTTCAACAATCAGCCACTGAAAATCCTATTAAGCGCAGTTCTACTCTGACACAGATGGCATTGCCATGACTTGAAATCAACTCAACAGCAACTAGTTTGGATTTTTTGCTTTGTTTTGTTTTATTGTATCTGGTTCAACAATTGTTTTGCTAGGGAAGGAGCTAAGGGCTTTACTTGTGTTATCTCATTTAATCTTCACAACCATTATTGTCCCCATTTTACCGATGTAGAAACTGAGACTTAGTGAGGTTAAGAAACTTGTGCAAGGCTCACCCAGGATTGGAACCCAAATCTGTCTGACTCCAAAGTTCAAAGTCTTAACTACAGTGCTTTATTTTCATGTCTATTCTAATCTTGGACTTGATTTGTCAAAAGCTTGAAAGCTAATCAAAGAAGATTTGTTTAGATATGCTCTTTTGTTTCCTTTATTATAGCTGATGCTTGATATGTATTTCAGATTTTAAAGAATGTGGAGTCTTCCAGAACTGTTCAGCCACATTTCCTAGAATTTTTACTCTCCCTTGGCTGGTCAGTAGATGTGGGCAGACACCCTGGTTGGACTGGACATGTTTCCACGAGTTGGTCTATTAACAGTTGCAATGATAGTGAAGGATCTGAACAAGGTAAAACTCATAACGATCACTTGTCTTTTCTTGTTTTGTTACGCTTGATTGTTCCCCCTTACCGTGAGCTTGTATTCTTATTAAAAAACAAAACCAAACGGAGGTGTATAAATGAAAAGTCTCCCTGTCCTAATCCCAGTCGTCACTGGGGGGGATCACTTAAAAATAGTTTATATGTTCTTCCAGACATTTTCTGTGTATGAGATATATAGAATATGATGGGGTTAATTAATATAAAATTAATAAGTTAATTATCACAAGGTTGCTAAGTTCCTTTTTTATAGTGTGAGTGAACAAATTCAGTTTCCTATAAAAATAGTCTAATAAATATAGGTTATCTATACAAACAATACAGTTTCCTGACAAGCGTAATTTGTCTAACATATACAATTTTCTATAACAGGTGTGTTTTATAGACATTGTGGCCATCAACAATTCACAGTTAAAGGTTTCAGTCTTGGGATATTATGTAAAAACCTTTGTAGTAAACAGCCACCTATCTCTTGAGAGATTCTTGCCCTTCTCTATGAATCCTCCTAAGTTACTATTCTCTCCCTGAGGAGGGTAACACCTATGCCCAGTGCCTTGAATTATCAGAGTCCTAGTGTCTTTCAAGGTTTCCCATTAAATATCATTGTAACTTGTGACCTGTAGTTCCTTTTAGTTTCAACCAAGGTGGAATCAAAGTATTTAGGGATATACTATAATTTTTGTTTTCACATACCCTTGTATATATGCTTGAATATATCTGTAGGCTAATTCTCATATGTTCTTGTATCATAAGGATATAAGTTCCCATGTCAAAACATATGCACGTTTTTCATTTTGATAAATGTATCAATGAGATGCTTATGATTGCAAATAACAGGAGACCTGACCCATTATGATTTTGAAGGTTACTCAATGCTTCATTTAACTGAAAATTCCGGCGGTTACTATAAATTTCAGATGTCATTTAATCAGTGCTCCTGTTCTGTTTCTCTGCAGTTTACCTTTAGCTCTGCTCTCCATGTGTTGACTTTGTCGCTAGTCTGGCTTCTCTGATAATACAAAAAAGGCAGTTCTAGGCTTAACATTCATATACCACACTATCCTGAAAGGGAGAGATTAGCCAAGTCTTAGAATCCTTCTACCCCTAAAACCTTGAACTAACAAATCTATTCTTGAGGCAAGAGAGAGGAAATGACCCTGATAGATACAGAGGAGTTTGAGCTGGTATGAAGGATCAATCCCATCAACTTCATGGCTGCTATAGAGTGGGAGAGAGGTGGAGTGAGTATTGGGCAGTAACCACAGTGTCTGTTACAGTAGATGCAAAGTACCTTCCCATAGTCAGCAAACTACAACCCACACCTGTTTTTGTAAAGAAAGTCTTATTGGAACTCAACCATACTCTAATTTACATATTGTCTGACTGTTTCAATACTACATCGACAGAGCTGAGTAGTCACAACAGAGACAATACGTCCTGCAAAGCCTAAAATATTTACTCGTTGGTCCCTTTACAGAAAAAGTTTGCTAACCCTTGGTCTAAACTGTTCTGTTTCTACATCCTCACCAACATTAGCTATCTTTTCTAACCTGTCAGGCGAGAAATTTTCTATTTTTAATTATGATTGAGTTTTTGAGCATTTCTTAATATTTTTATTTCTTTCCTGAGAACTACTTGTTCATATTCTCTGCCCAATCTTTTGTCAGGTTGCTGATATCTGTTATTGGTATGACATTTTGTTCATTTGAACTGAGAACTGTATTCAGTTTCAAAAGTGTTTATTTTGTTTATTTAGTCTTGTTAGTGCTGGCTTAGAAGAGATACTATTACTGAAACTGCCTGTACATTTTTCTGTCACTGACCATGGGGAAGGTGGAGGTAGAAGCAGCTCTGAGAAACAGTAGAGAGAGACTAGTGACAGAAATGCTTTGAAAGCGGGAGTACACATACAGACAGCCACCCAAACTCCCTTCACAGGGATTTTGATGGTCTTCTTCCTTTTGATCATTACCTGTTCCAAAAAGACTTCTCCCTTAACCTGCCTCATACAGATGAGCTAAAGGCCCTGGTAAAATCAGGAGTATGCTTTGATTTAGAGTAGTTTCAGAGACTGTGAAATTAAGACTTCATGATTTAAAGTCAGTATAAAGACATTTAATGAACGTTTATACTATATTCTTCACACATTAGTTGGTTCGAGTTGGAAACGTACTTTTGACTATTTATTGTTAATACTTTATTAAGCAACTAAAATTTCATGAAGCGGAATGTTTTGCATGATACTGGATTTTCCCACTTTTAGAAGCAGTAATGTAGTGTTTCTTATTCCTAGATGAAGTAATTTCCTCTGAAGATGTTGGGGCTAGCATTTTCAATGGACAGAAGAAGGTGCTGTATTATGCCGATGCCCTTACGGAAATAGCTTTTGTGGTTCCTTCTCCTGTGGAGTCCTTAAGTGAGAGAATTTTTTGTATGATTGTATTTTAGGACCTAATTTTGCATTCACTGGTTTGTGCAGTATTATTGTGTTGGAAGAGATTTTGAAGGCATTCTTCAGCTTCTAAAGTATTATAGCTATTAGATTATGCAAAGATACAAAATGTTATTTCCTCTTAACTTTCTTATGGAAAGTAGTTAAACCAAGCATATCAATAACCTATCTTTAAGTAATGAAACAGTCCAGCTTTAACTCATTTTTGGCATTTCTTTAACCTAATTAATTTAGTTAATATGTAGAGGCCCTATTTTCCAATTAGTTCATTTCTTCAGTTATGAGTGAGTCCACATGCACCTACTTCCTCATTTCTGTGTGAGAGCCTTTATATGGAACCCCATAGAATCCTAGAAGGCTCTCGTAATGGTATGTAGCTGATCTTCTAACACTGAGCAGGAGAAACCTTAACAAGCCTAGAAAAGATGGCAGTCAAGACTGTCCTTAAGGATTGGGAGTGATAATTACTTCTCGGGCTGAACTCACACTTATTTTGCCTAAAACCCTTGCTTTTTGTAAATTAAGCCTTATCCGCTTACGCCAACTGCACCCCTGTTCCAACTCAACTTCCTCTTGTTTCTTAATACGTATTTTTATTTTTTATTCTGTGTGCTTGTCTCCAACCAGATTGCTCCTTAATCACAGAGACTAGGTCCTCTGTAGCTTTTGGATGCCCCAGTGCCTACTTGCTACAGTGGTATATGATCGGATTTATAATCAAAATACTTCAGGGAATAACAGATGGCTTTTATTGTATTCTACACCTAGGAAGTCAAATATTTTCTAGTCTTATTTCAGTTATCCTGTAGAGCAGGAGCCAGGAAACCACGGCCCACAGACCAAATTCAGCCCACTAAGAATGGTTTTTACATTTTTAAAGAATCATAAAAAATGTATATAAATAAAGAAGAATACACAACAGAGGCCTGTATGGCCAGCAAAGCCTAAAATATTTATTACCCTACCCTTTATAGAAAAAGTTTGCCAGCCTTTGCTCTAGAGGCAATGCTTTGTTTAAATGACTTAGGTTAGACTAGTTCACATAGTTAGTTTAAACATCTTTACTCCAAAGTAGTAGTAGGAATTATAATTATTTTTTTCTTTACCTCATAGCTGATTCATTAGAAAGTAACATCTCGGACCAAGATAGTGATTCAAATATGGATCTTATGCCAGGAATTCTAAAACAGCCGTCCTTGACACTTGAGCTTTTCCCTAATCATACAGACAATCTTAATTCCTCGCAGAGGGTAAGTCACTTTGTTGATATATCTCCAGAAATTTGTAGTGAAATGGGGTAATATAGAATCATGCCTGAAAAGCTTTTAACTTCAGCCTATAATTACAATAGTAACTGATTCATTAGTAACTTAACTTTTTTAAATTAAATTCTCAATATTTTCTTTTTTTCAGCCTGCAATAAATAGTTTCATAGTAAAATAGCCTTTATTGCTTTCCTTGATTTAGTCATTTCAGATACCGTGCTTGGTTCCCTCACCCATTCCTCCCCAAGCCAAGGTTTTTATTAGACCTTTGAAGTATGCACTGAAGGTGCAATATAGGCTATACATTCCACATCATTCATCATGTAGTGCTCAACTTAAACAAGTCTGTTTTAGAGAGTAGCACAGTATATGGGTGAATACACTGAGCGAGGCAGACAGTAACTACTACAGGAAGAGAGCTTTTTACTTCTGTATTTTCTTCGTACCTTGTCAGCAGATGTTGTTTCTTTGTTATCTGTGTTTTTCTCCTCATGTTGCCTCTTAATCCTTACTGGGAAATGACCAAGAAAGTGATAGTAAGAGTATAGGATCATTCATAAGTGTAAGAGGATTGATTTAAAACAAATAAGAAAGACAAAAGAAGTGTAAACTTGACTAAAGATGTTTTTTCACTATACAGGAATTTAATTCGGTTCCTTCCAAAGTGAAAATTATTTTTAATATAAATATACACTTACAATAGAATATGGGAGAGATTTTCAGCTTTAAAATTGATTTAGAGAAAAAAATCAAATTGTATAACACTTTCTGACTTAGACTGATTTTGAAAATCAGGAGTTGTTATATTAAAAGGGAGTCCTGGTGGTGCAGTGGTTAAGAGCTGTGGCTGCTAACCAAAAGGTCGGCAGTTCGAATCCACCAGCCGCTTCTTGGAAACTCTGTGGGGCAGTTTAACTCTGTTCTATAAGGTTGCTGCTATGAGTCAGAATCAACTCGACAGCGACTAGTTTGGTTTGGTTTGGTTTGGTTTTGGTTTATATTAAAAGAGGTTTCACAGTTTGGATGTAAGCAAATCAGTGTTAGGTGGTAATGAAGGATTTTATGAAATTTCTAACATTCAGCTATTCCATGTTTGTGGATTGAAGGAATTGATATTTTTAAGATGTCAGTTCTTGAATTAATCTGTAGAGTTAATGCGATCCCATCAAATTCTCAGTGCATTTTTAGAAGAAATTACAAGCTGATCCTAAATTTAAATGGAAAAGCAAATACATTAGAATAACCAAATTTTGAAATAGAAAACAAAGGTGGAGGACTTATGTGATTTCAAGATTTATTATAAAGCTTTAGTAATTAAGTCAGAGTGGTATTGGTGAAAGGACAGACATACAGATAAATAGAACTGAATAGAGAACCCAGTGTTAGACCCCACACATACATGATTTTTGACAAATGTGACAATGTACTTCAGTGGAGAAGGGATTTTTTTTTTTTTGCCGGGGTGGGGGGGGGACATATGCTTCTGGAACAACTGGATTTACAGATGGGAAAAATAACCACATCTCTTACCTCACATCATACACAAAAATTAACTCAAAATGGATTATAGACCTAAATATTAAAGCTAAAACACCAAAACTTCTAATAGAAAACATAAGACAAATATCTTAGTGACATTGGGGTAGGCAAAGATTTCTTAGATAGAGTGCAAAAAGCATGAACTACAAAAAAAAATTGTTAAGTTGAGCTTTATCAAAATTAAAACTTTTGCTTTTTGAAAGACACAATTAAAACGAAACATAAAGCCACAGAATAGGAGAAAATATTTACATTGCATGTATCTGACAAAGGACTTATATCCAAAATATGTAACTCCTACAACTCAGTAATAGTGAAGCAAGCAAACCAATTTAAAAATTGGGAAAAAGATTTGAACAGGCACATTAGAAAAGAATGTATGCTAATGGCCAGTAAACACATGAAAAGATGCTCAACTTCATTAGTCATCAGGGAAATCCAAATTAAAACCAGAGTGAGATATTTCTGCATACTTAATGGAATAGCTAAGATTAAAAAGACTAGCAATACCAGCTGTTGGCGAGGACATGGAGCAACTAGAACTCTCAAACATGGTTGATACGAGAAGTATTTGGCAATTTCTTAAAAAGTTACACATGTTCCTATCATATTACCCAGCCATTCTACTTCTAGGGAATTACCCCAGAGAAATGAAAACATATTTCCACGCAAAACCTTGTTCACAAATGTTCTTACTAGCAGGCTTTTCTATAAACATTGGCAACCTGATTAGATTTTGTGGAAATGTAAAGGTCTTAGAATAGCCAAAACAGTTTTGAAAAAGAGAAACAAAGTTGTTGGACTTAAACTTCCTGATTGTAACATTTCCTTTAAAATTACAATAATCAAGACAGCGTGGAATTGGCATTAAGATTGACATACAGATCAATGGAACACAATAGAGTGCAGAAATAAACTCACATATATATGGCCAATAGATTTTTGACAAAGGCAGCAGGATTATTATAACAATTGAGGCTGAACAATTCGATATCCATATGAAAAAAAAATGAGCCTCAACTTTTACCCCATATCATATGTGAAAATTAATTTGAAATGGGTCATTAACTTAATCATAATAGTTAAAACTTCTAGAAGAAAATGGGAAAAATTGTTGTGACCTTGGGTTAGGCAAAGATTTCTTAGGTAAGACATAACACGAGCCATTTAAAAAAATAAATGAATTAATTAGACTTCATCAAAATGAAAATCTTTGCTCTTTGGAAGACGCTATTAAGACAATGAAAAGATAAGCCATAGATTGGGACAAAATGTTTGCAAATCATATATCTGATAAGAGACTAGTATCTAAGATATCTAAAGAATTCTTACAAACTCAGTAATAAGACAGACAACCTGAATTAATTAATGGGCAAAAGTTTTGAATGGATACCTCACCAAAGAAGATATACAGAGGACAAATAAACACTTAAAAAGATGCTCAACATCTTTATGTGCCACCAGGGCTCCCATTAGTCATTAGGGAAATGTAAATTGAATCCACAGCAAGCTACCAAGTCATACCCATTAGTATGGCTATGATAGAAAAATAGATAATAAGTGCTGGTGGTGATGTGGAGCAACAGGACACCCTCATGTGCTGCTGTTAGAAATGCAAAATGGTGCAGCCACTTTGGAAAAGTTTGGCAGTTTCTTACAAACTAAAACATAAATTTACTAGATTCCACTTCTAGGAATTTACTCAAGAGAAATAAAAATGTAAGTCCGCATCAAGACCTGTATGTAATTATTTTAGCTACCTTATTCATAGTCATCAAAACCTGAAACAGTCCAGATGTCCATCAACTTGTGAGTGGATGAACTGTGGTGTGCCCATACAATGGAGTACTACTCAGCAATGAAAAGGAACAACCTTATGAATTATGCAACAACATGGATGAATTTCAAAAGCATTATGCTAAGAAAAAGAAGCCAGACACTAGAGACTTTATACGATATGATTCCACTTACATAGTGTTCTAGAAAAGGCAAAGCTAAAATGACAAGCTGCAGATTTATAGTTGCCAGGGACCAAAGTTATGAGGAGGCAGAGGGGCATGAGGGAACTTTTTGGGGTGATGGAACTATTCTGTATTTTGATTGTGGTGGTTGTTATACAACTATACACTCTCATCAAAACTCATTGAACTATACACTTAAAATGGGTAAACTTTTTAATGTAAATTATACCTCAATAAAGCTAATTTTTTTTAAAAGCACTAATGATACAGCAAGATTCCTTTTAGATAATATAGGACAAAAAAAACATATAAAACTACATGAACAGCATGATTTCATCAGTGTGAAAAACAGAATTGAAAATATATTAATTAGTAAATTATCTTTGGATTCTGGGTGATTTATTTTCTTTGTATTTTTCAAATGTCCCAAAGTTACCACAATGGAAATTGTTTTTTTTCTTTTATTGTACTTCAGGTGAAGGTTTACAGAACAAATAGTTTCTCATTAAACAGTACTACACATACTGTTTTATGACATTGGTTAACAACCCCACAACATGTCAACCCTCTCCCTTCTCAACCTTTTTTTTTGGTGAAAATATACATAGCCAAAGATACACCATTTCAAAAATTTCTACATGCACAGTTCAGTGAC